GTGGTTAACTAGTAAAATGTTTATCAGGATATCAGCAACATTTTACTAGTTAGCCACTTTTTGATATCTTTCACAGAAAATGAGATATATAGGCTCAAAGTGGACGATCCGGGTGTCGTTCTATTAGAGGTTTTACGGTAATTTGGATCATATCATACTTCTACGGGTTTTTATCTATTACTATCTCTGCTTCTATTAGGTTGGAAACTAATTCCTTGTGCACTTTTGTATTTCATCTTTTCTCTTAACTAAGCTAGAAACATAACATGTGTGTAACTCCAGTTGACTCCAGTAACTCCAGTTCCCAGTTGAAAATGGTTTCAAGCCTTGACATGAATACGAACTACATACTCTCCCTGTAACTTAATATTTCCTGAATTTGCTTGTAAATTTAAATTGGGTCATTTCTTCTTCTTGGTATTTAATGTTCGATAGATATTCAGTCCGTAAAATCTGCAATAGAAGGGCTCTTAACTTTTAATTCTGAGCCAATTTACCTCGATTCTTGTACAAGATATCAAAAAGTGGTCAACCGACGAATACATCATAAATGTGTTGTCAGTTAACACATTTTGATATATTTCACAGGAACCGAGATATACGGGCTCAAAGTTGACAGTGTGAGGGTCCTTCTATTACAGGTTTTACGTTATGTGAGCTCAATTCAAATTTTTGTTTATTTTCTTGACATCCGTTGAAAGTTAAAAAATGTGTTTAATTAGAAGACTAGTAGAATCAGAAAGCAGGAATTCCAAAGATCCCACGATATCGCAATGTGCCAAATGTTCAAGGATCCATATTTTGTATCAAATTCGAAATTGTAAACAAAAACAAATAATATTACATTTTTATTCGATTTCAAAAAATTATATTATCAATACCAGATAGCATAAGTCTCGTTACTGTCTCGAATGAAGAACTTGACGTAACATATCATACCCGAAATGTATTGAAGCCCAATGTCAGCGCAAACCCCATGGCAGTTTCGAATTTTGACGTTCTTATCAGTTGGTCCTGGAGGTTCTTCTTCTGGTTGTTCTACCCATTCTACTTCCTCTTTTTCTTCCTCTTCTTCTTCTTCCGATTCTGCTGCTTCCTCTTCTTCTTGCTCCTCTTCTGGCTCTTCTTCATCTTCATCAACATCCTCTTGCTCATCTTCTTCATTCTCATCATCTTCTTGTGCACATTGTACCTCATCTTCTGGTTCCTCTTCAGATTCTGATTCTTCTCCCATTTTTTCATCTTCATCTTCATCTTCCGATACTTCCATCTCATTACATTCTTTTCCTTCTTTCACATCTTCCTGCCCCTGTTCTTCATCATTTTCCCACCATTTTTCATTTTCATCTTCAGAGTCTTCTTCTGGCTCCTCTTCTGGCTCCTCTTCTGGTTCTGCTTCTACTACTTGAACTTGACGAGCTTCACGAGTTTTGACTATCTTAAATGCGTCTGGTTCTTCTGTTCTCAATCCTTTCAGCAATACATTCCAATCTGGGAAGATCCTTGAGTTTTTCGTAATTTGTAAGTTTTTCAGATTTTGAAACGATCCTTTCATCCACAATTTCAAGAAACGATTCAAGTCACGGAGCGAGATTTGATTTGCATAATCAATTGTCAAACTTTCAACATTCAACGTCAAAAGATCGTCAAATTTGAGACGTTTACCAGATTGGATATATAGTTCTTTTAAGTTTACAATTCCGATATGTTGAACGAAGAAATCCTTCCGAAGAGGGACATCCAGATGGGCATATTCCACCAATGGAAGAAAAACTTTCAGAAGATTTTCAGCGTAAATGATGTCTTGATCGGTAAGTTCGTTTCCATATTCGCTTGTCAAATAGATCTTCCTGATTTTTGGAAAAGTGTTTCGAAAAGATGGGAACACTAATTTTGCCTTTCCAAGATACACTTTCATTTTAATCGGCTCCTCTTTATGGAAAATTGATAATAGATGTTGAATCCACTGTTCCAAATTCTTTCCTTGATTCGACCACTCTAAATATAGACTACTAAATGATCGACCCTCTGTAAATACATCCACTCTGTCTGGTAGATCTTTCATGGTTTTGATTTCTTCTTCGTGATTTTTCTTCTTTGGGATTTCTTCATTTTCTGGCATGCATCTCAAGTTGAACGAGGTCGAACCATAATCTTTTGTGGTCCATCTTATCTGCAGCCATTCTCCTAATTCTACATCAGTTGATAAAGTCTCTACGCGAAGTGACTTAATCATTGAATGAGACTTCCTCGAAACGAATGAGTAGGCAATCCTGAAATGAGATAAAAAATCAATGCAAACTTTTTAGAGAAAGAAACTCACATTTCATAATAATTCATTGTTTTGAGAACCTCTGAACAGAGGTCTTCGGGAAGACGGCGGAGAGGGAATCGCTGGTGGGTCATATCTGGATAAAATGAGGTTAATAAAAGAGAGCTAAGCAAGATGAAGAGAGATCGTGAACAATAAATTGATAGAAATAGAAAATGAGAGGATAGAATTTGAAGAGCAGATTAATGAGCACACTATCGACTAGGTGTGAATCAATCAATAGGGTCTTGAGTGGAAAACGCGCACCTAGTACAGAGGTGGATGGGTAGCTGTTAGTTCATTATACCGCGGTGTCAAATGATATATACTTCAAAATTATACAATTTCTTCTGGCTTCAAGTTATCTGGGGTGCCTTTTTGACCCGTTTCTCGGGGACTCAGTGATTTCTGTGAATTTAGATTTTTAGTGAACAAAATTAAGATTTCTTGATATGAAATATATCCTTTTTTTAGATCAAACCAAGCGACGCCTTTAAAAATATCAGGTGCCAGTTGTTTTAATCCGATAAGACTAGAAGTATTAAATTTATCACAAACACTTAACTCCCTATACTAGAACGTTGGAAAGCAAAATCGGAGGTTGGTCAAATCGGATAAAAAGAACAAATAAATGAAACAGAATGGACGTTACGCAAGATGAAGAGAGATCGTGAACAATAAACTGGTAGAAATAGAAAATGAGATGGTAGTGTCTTCTGGACAAATGAGAAGAGTGCACTATTGATATTGAGCTGGTGTTAATCAATAGGCGGGTCTTGAGTGGAAGATGAATGCAGGTATGACGTCAAGTGCGGAGGGGAACGAAGATGGTGTCAAAAGATATATTCTGGGAAAATGTAAGAAGAAGACGTGACGGATTGTACAGGTTAAGCGACACAGTAAACCTGTGTATTTTCCAAGCGATAATACTTGATAGTTGAAAAATATTTATATTTTCTGAAATTAAAGTTTACAGATTTCTAGTTTTTTAGATTAGAGATTTCAAGAGTTTGTGTATTTTCAATGAGCATATGATTTCTTAACTAGATAAAGAAGGCGTGCTAGGAACCAAGATAACCTCAAAATGCATGTGAAGGATGGGCTTCTAGTAGAGCATTTATGGTATTACATTAAAAGTCAATTAGAAAATCAGAGGGGATGTTTGTTTATTCGAGAGAAAATTTTATAACTTTTCAGTGTGTCTTGGTTGCAGAGGATTGATTTACAGCTGACAAGTCTCTTGTCGGACTGCCTCCATTATTCTACCCGGCGATGTCTAGGTCAACCTGTGCCTCGGGGAAAAGAGGATCTATAAGGTTCGTAGTCTTATTCTATTAGTTCATTTTTTCAGAACAGAATACATTTAACTTTTTTAATTTTTTTTTATTTATGTTAGACATTTCAAAAAATCGGAATAGAATAGAGTAAACGTTTGGGGGGAAAAGTGAGGAAGTAATATTTGGGGAAAAATTAGAAATCATTAAATTAGGAAAATTGAGAGATTTGAAAAGTTCCAAATGAGAAAAAGATTATTCCGACCATTGTCTTTTTGGCACCCTTTGTCGTTTCGATGACCCATGCCTGTTTTCCAAATTTTCTGCATCTTCGTGATCCTGCTTCCTCTTCTCTGGCTGACTTTTTAGAAGACTTCTTACACTTGTCCTCTTCAGGTAGCCGGCAACATCTCGAACTTCCCTAAAAACTAATAATTAGAATATCGGAGACAACATGATGACCTGAATCTCCTGTTACAGAAACTCAGGTAAAAAAACTTACACTTCTGTTTCGTTCGTATTTTTCCACTCATTTTCTTCATGGTTCAGATGTTTCTTTGACTGCTTTGCCAAAACGAACTTTGGGTACGCATTGTAGCCAACATAGGATCCAATTATAGCGGCTCTCTATTTTCTTGAGTTGGTGCGTTGCGTGCTCAGAAATTGAGGGAGAGGGTGGTTTTCATTGCATTGAGGTTCTAAGCAATACCCGTTGCATTTTCCTGACTTGACCCCTGAGCTTTGCTTGTTCCTCGATGACATTGTCCATCTGACGTCGAAGCGCCTGGACTTCGTTTGCGACGATCTTGACGCTTTTGATGATCTTGTCCGTGTCCGTGAGCGTTGAGGTTCTAAGGCTCGTGTAGACATTCGAAAGGAATGGAATAAATAGTAACAGAAGAATAATTTCAGAAAAATAAAAAGGAATACATTTTCCGACGTCCATGCAGGTCGTCAGGAAAAATATAGGGGGAGAGGAAGTGGTTACATGAGGGAGAAATGAATACAAATGGTGGATATCCGGCTGTATTTATAGGGACACTCGAGGGGGCGGAGCCAATTCCAGGTGGGCTGTTTTCACCTACTGATTGTTTTATGGCGGTAAAGTAGACTTTTATTAGAGTAGTATATGACATTAAGGGAGTTATTGACAGTATTTTTGAATCCTTCATTTCTTATAATTATTTCATAATGCTACTCACAAATAGATAAATTCTCGATTGGAACAAATTCTGGAATTCTTCGGATCCTAGAGTAAGTGAAAAGTGTGAAATTAAACATGTTATTAGATTTCAGAATGTTTGGATACCCAGATGAAATGCCATTGGATGTATTGAAGCAAATGAACTACGAGTTAGAAACAACGCGTCAGAATACACCGTTAGGGTCTGTAATTCCACTAATCCAACCCGTGAATTTGGCGATGTAAAAATGGTGGCTCCCGTTGGTGACTTCATGAAGTTTTTCGTTATTTCAGCAGCCCTCTGATTTCAATGTTCAATGGGACTGAATCGATTCCAACTAGAAAAGCCACAAAAAGAAATAAAATCTGGAGGTTTTCCTAATTTTTTAAAATGAATTTCCGTTTCTCCCTTGTTGCTTTTTTTTTCGTTAATAAATTTGTGTTTTTCAATTCAACTGTTGAAAAATATAAATTCAATCCTCAAATCAATTTGATATAGGACTAAAAATTGAAATCATGGATTTTTGGAGAAAAGTAGTTGTTGTAAGCATTTGAGCCGAAGGTGGAGAGCTCCTACAAAAAAGTGTCAATTACAAAAATGAAGCTCTACTTTTTTTTAGTATACTTTGAAATTTCCAGACAAATCGAAAAATTCTGAACTACTTTTTAGGACTTTAAAAATATTCCAATAAAAAATCCAAATTTGGCATACCGAAACTTTCAACTTTGAGCCACTTTATCTCGTTTCCTGTAAAAGATGTAAAAAAATTGTCAACTAATAAAATGTTTATCATATTATCACAATCATTTTATCAATTAAACTTTTTTGATATCTTTGACGGGGACCGAGATAAATCGACTCAACGTTGAGGGGTCGACTCTCGCCTTTGGTTAGGCCGAGTCCGACTTTAAGCCCATTTATCTCGTTTCTTGTAAAATATGTCAAAAAGTTGTTCACTGATAAAATGTTTATCATATTATCAAGAACATTTTCACTTTTTAAAATCTTTCACGAGAACCGATAAATTAGCTCAAAGTTATAGAGCCCTTATATTGCAGGTTTTACTGTATTTTTTGTCCGGTACTGTAGTTACCAACCACTTCGGGTACTCAATAATTTTTTTTTAAAACTACGAAGATGTTCTTATCCTATCTAGATCCCAGCAGCCTTGTTGTAAAGCAACACATTGGACTTTCTGCCTATCTCTGAATCTCCGTTTTCTATGTAGTGTCTCGTACAAGACCAAACCAGCAGTATGTGTTCTCCTTCTCCCCATGCCATAGGGTCACCCCGACGAAACACGCGCTCTATCGCACACCTCTCCTATTCTCCGTCTCTTTTCTCTCCTTCGCCTTCTTCTTACCCCCACATTCAAAGCACTTGTTGGCTTTTTTCGTCTAGATTCCGATTTCCAGAATGGCCACGTCATCAGCGGCAGCGGCTGCCAAAAAGAATGAAGTCTACGGAACTACACGAAACTTGACAGAAGTGTTTATGCTGCTCCGATCGAATGCTCATCAGAGTCGGTTGATTTATAAAGATGACTCGGATGTGATTGTGAGGAGTCGAGGAGATGGTGAGAGTTTTTTCTTACTTTCAAAGGGACATTTAGTCAATCAAAAGGACTTTTTTAGAAGAGCGAATGGCTCTTGTGGAGCTTGAAGATGGTGTTGAGAAAGAAGAAGAAGAAGATCCAGTATGGATTCATACAGCGGATCAGGTGGAATTCGAATTTGAGCGAGTTCAACGACGCCTGGATGAGCTTGGAGATGCGCAAAGAAAACACATTTCTAGACCGAATTTTGGAGATGAGGCATTTGAAAAAGAGGAGAAGGCGATGGAGCAGACAACGGAGCAAATTACGCAAATGTTGACTCATTGTCAGAGGCTGATTAGAATGATATCTGGAAATCATGGAAAAGAGAAAGCGATGCAGAAAAAGTTACGGGAGAATGCGGCAGCCACATTGAGCTTGACTTTAAGTCAGATTACAGACGAGTTTCGTGGAAGGCAATTGAAATATTTAAGTGATATTCAGGTGTGGTTTCTCATAATTAAAACCGAGATTTCTGACATTTTGATTTATAAAAATTTTAAAAAAAATGATTTTTTTGTCAAAAAATTGGTATATAGTAAAACCTGTTTGAGCTCAATTATCTCCGTTCCTGTGAGAGATATCAAAAAATTGTCACCTAATAAAATGTCGGAAAAATTATCAATTACATTTTATCAGTTGAAAAATTTTCGATATCTCTAACAGGAACCGAGATAATTGAGTCAACGTTGATGGTGCGAGTGTGGAAGGCCCCTCTTCCTCACTGTTAACTTGGAGATAATTTATCTTCGCTTCTATGAGAGATATCAAAAAATTTTCAACTGATAAAATGTTGGTCAAACTATCACTTACATTTCATTGGTTGACAGATTTATTGATAGCTTGCTTAGGAACCGAGATAATTGAGCTCAAAGTGAGAATTTAGAGCGGATTATACATAGCAGTAGGCTGTCACCGTTGAGCTAATTTTTTTATCGGTTCCTGTATGAGATATAAAAAATGTGCCAACTAACACAATTTGACTGATATTAGGATAACCAATTTATCTGTTGACTACTCTTTTACAGAAAGTGAGATATATGAGCTCAACGTAAAAGGCTTGTGGCTCGTTTATTAGAGAGACCCTTCTATTTATGGGGCCCTTCTAATACAGGTTTTACATCTATAATTAAATTCAGAGTCGTTCTCGAAACGTCGACAACTATCTCATCACTACGGATCCATTGATCGATGCCCCAAATTGGGAAGATTTGGATGTTTCGCCGTCAGCTGAACTCTCAATGGCTCAACTTCAACAGTTCATGAATAATGATCGAGAAGTTCGAGAACGAGAAAAAGAAGTGTTAGCTGTGAATTCGTCGATTCGAGAGCTGAATACACTGTTTCAAGATTTGTCACAAATGATTGTGGATCAAGGAAGTGTGGTTGATAGGTAATTTTTTTTTGTCTGAACAAGCTAGAATTGAAAATTTAGCTAGAAATGAAAAACAAACAAATAAGGCACCCTACTGACAACCAATAGATTCTGAAAATTCCAGAATTGACTACAACGTTGAGCAATCCTCCATCCGAGTCTCCAAAGCAGTTGAAAACGTCTTCAAAGCAGAACGATACCAACGAGGAAACAAGAAAATGCACCTCATTTGCTGTTTAACAGTTGCCATTATTTTTGTGCTTATCCTAATCATTGTTACTAAGTTATAACTCTCTTTTCGAGAGTTTAATTTATTAATTTTATTTATTCATCATTCCCATAAAAATCGGGTTTCTAAGAAAAGTTTTTGTTTGGTTATCTTTGATTCTCGGTTGTTTCCCGGTGGTGGTATTATCTTTTTGTATTCATTGTATTCTTTTTTTTCAATTCAAAAACACATTTGAAGATGAGTGGACGCAAAATCAAAACCGAAATAGTGGAAATCAAAAGAGAACCCGAACCCGAGCCCGACATAGATGTCCGAGGCAAAGAATGTTTGGAGCAGGCTACAATCACAAGACATCTTTTGAAGGCTAACAGGTGAGTCTACACACCAAGGTTGTCAAAAGCAAAGTATTTGGAAATAAGCTCACCCAGCCAGAAATTGTTAGGGCCGCAAGGCCGCCGAGTCCTACTCGTCCCAGAAGTACCCTTACAAAAAAGACACGGCCCTTATGTCGTCCGTTAGTCGGTTGTTAGTGTTTCCCTATCGCGTAGCTCACGGACATTTTGCAGACAAAATTATTCAAAGCAATTCATTTATTTTTCAGCACAAACTACAATTCGGCGCTGACTGCCATCGCGGAACTTGTCGACAATTCGTATGATGCCAATGCGACAAAAGTGTTAATTTCCTTGGGTAAGTTTCAGTTTTGCCTGCTAAAATAAGGGGAAAATATACATTTTTTCAAATTGAACCAGGATATTTGTTTGAAGAAACTACTGCTTGGGTTTTAAATTAAACTCAAAGACACAAAAATAATAGTTTATTTCTAGCATTTTCCGGTCTCTTAATTTTGACCCAATTTATATCGGTTCCCGTAAGAGATATCAAAGTTTTGTTAACAAATAAAATGTTGGTGATAAAATGACAAACAAAATGACATCAATTGACAAAATTTTTATATCTCCTAAAGGAACCGAGATAAAAGGAGTCAAAGTTGACAGGGCGGGGGCCAATGTTGTCAGCAGACTAGAAACACATCACACTCACAACTTTGATCCTATTTATCTCGGTTCCTGTAAGAGATTCCAAAAAAGGGCCAACTAACAAAATGTTAACAATATTATGATAAAATTGTATCGGTAGACGTATTTTTGATATATTTCAAAAAAACTGAGATAAATAAGATCAACGGCTGCGAACAGTAAAACGAAGTGCTACCATTTCCTTCTTCCACCTTTCCTTCTTCCACCCACTCTATCTCGGTTCCTATGAGAGATATCAAAAAGTTGTCAACTAACAAAACATTTATAATATTATGATAAATGTTTTATCCGTTTATCACTCGCTTATATCTTCTACAGTAACCGAGATAAATCGGCTCAAAAGACCCATTCAGAAATTTCCATATTTCAGAGAACAAATTCCCAAACAATCAAATTCGTATATGCGATAATGGAACGGGTCTATCTAGACAAGAAGTTCTTAATATCATTAAACTCGGATTCTCTCAAAAGGAAAAAGAAGCAATCGGCCGGTATGGAACCGGACTGAAATCCGCTGCTTTTCATCTTGGAAAGAAAGTCCTTCTTTTGACGAAAAAGGATGGAATCTATACGGCTTTTTTCATGGCATGGAATAATCTCGAAAACCAGAACGATGAATCAATGCTAGTTGCCACGCCATCATACAATGGATCCACAGGCGAGAAATATTGCCCAGAGCCCGAAGATGAACGAATACATGATTACGAAATTAGGATAATCTCTGAGAACATGGATCTAAATGAAAATGTCTTCGATGAGTTCTTGAGAATACCATCAGAGCATGGAACCTTGATAATCATCAAAGATCTTCATAGAATGAATGTTGGTTATGAGCAGATTCTTGACACATCAATCGACAAGGATATTCGAGTGGAGGGAGAAGATCTGCCACCGCACAAAGTTTCGCTTGTGGAGTATCTCAAAGTGTTGTATTTGTATCCAAAAGCTTTTGTGAGTTTATTTTTTGCATAAATTGGGAATAAAAGAAGATATGCCGCATTTCCCTTAGGCCTGTCTGATTTTTGAGTTCATTTATTTCGGTTCCTGTAACAGATATCAAAAAGTAGCCAACTAACAAAATGTTAATCATAATATCACTTATATTTTATTAGTTAACCACTTTTTGATATCTCTTATAGGGACCGAGATAAAAAAGGTTAAAATTGACAATGCGCTGGCCAGTGAAGTCGGCAGCCTAGAAACGTACACAGCAGTTAACTTTGAGCTCATTTATCTCGGTTTCTATGAGAAATATCAAAAAATTAAACAAACATTTTTTGACAGTTGATTATTTTCAGATTTCATTCACAGTAACCAAAATAACGACGCTCAAAGTTAAGAGCGAGGGTATTATAGATTGCTAACAACAGTGGCTCGCACACCCTCAACTTTGACTCAATTTTACTCGGTTCTTGTAACAGATATCAAAAAGTAACTAACCGACAAACTGAGTAACATAAAGTTACCAATAGTTTGTCAGTTAATCACTTTTTGATAACTGTTACAGGAACCGAGATAAGTTGGGTCAAAAATGACAGGCCAAAATGATGGGTGACATCTAATGGAAATTTCAAAAAAAACATTTTTTTTCAGTTCTATGTCGAACAAACACTCCAAACTCCACGGAAGATATTATCCACTTGGGTCGGAAGATGCTACGCGAACGTTGCAGCGTATGAAACCGAGGCTTTGAAAATCGCAACGGAAGAACTGAAGCGTGAAGTTGAGAACTGTAAGTTTAACTTCGAGCTCAATTATCTCCATTTCTGTAAGAGATATGAAATATTCGTCAACTAACAAAATTTTACTGATATTGTGATGAACAATTTATCAGTTGACAAAATTTTTCTATATTTTAGAGGAACCGAGATAATCGAGCTCAAAGTTGACGGTGCGAGGGGCCACCGCTCTCAGCAGACCAGAGACTCTTAAGTTTGATCCAACTTATCTCAATTTTTGTAAGAGATATAGAAATTTTGCCAACTGATAAAATGTTTGTCATAATATCACAAACATTATTGTAATTTACATTGTTTTGATATCTCTCATAGTTTTTGAGATAAATGGCCTTAAAGGACAAGTACATAGAATAATGAGTTTTATTCGAGCATTTCAGTGGATGACGAGTTCAAAAGACTACAATCAGAGAATGCTCAAGAGAATATTAGAGAGATGCCGAAGGAGGAAAGAGAAATTTCGAAAAACCGACTTGACTTGGCGATGGCGACAGTTCTAGCAAAGAAAAGGGAGGTTGAATCCAGAATCAAGTACAACCAGAACATTGGAATTCACAAGATTCCTTTCGAATTCGGCCTAGAAGTCAGCGATCGTCAAAGCAATGGAATTCATTTCTACGCCAACAACAGATTGATTCTCTATGGATACAAATCTCCATTCTTTGAAAAATTCTCCAATACTATTGGAATATCAATGTACTGCAATCTGGATGCAAATATCTTCCCTCCAACTCAAAATAAACAAAATTTTCTGTACGACAAGGACTTCAATTCGGTTGTGCGATTGTGTGATAAGAGTTTAAATCAGTATTTCCGATATCTGACGGATGTCTGGGTTCCAAGACACTTGAAAAACCAATGGGGACGAGATGTGAAAGACAAAGGGGAAGACGAGGTTTGGAGCACATTCTGGAAGGTTTATGGATACCCAACATTTTCTCCGAATTGTCAGAAAACTCCAGATGATGCGAAGAGAACAGCTATTATTGAGAAGGAATGTGGGGTTTGGAAGGCTTGTGGTAAGTGAAATCATCATTTAGGAAACAGGTATCGTAAACTTTGAGCTAATATATCTCGGTTCCTGGGAAAGATAAAAAGTGGTCAACTGACAAAATGCTTGTCATAATATCAAAAACATTTCGTTTGTTGACAGTTTTTTGATATTTTTACGGGAACCGAGATAAATCGGGCCAAAGTTAGAGGAGCGAGGGTTAGCGTGTACGGGCGGATGGAAGGCCTCTGACTTTGGCTCAATTTATCTCGGTTCCCATAAGATATATCAAAAAATGATTAACTAAAAAATTATTGTTGATATTATGATAAGCATTTTATCAGCTGACTACTTTTTTATATCTATCGCAGGAACAGAGATAAATTGGGCCAAAGTTAGAGGGGCGAGGGTTAGTGTGTACGGGCGGATGGAAGGCCCCATAACTTTGGTCCAACTTATCTCGGTTCCCATTGAAAATTTCAAAACATGGTCAACTAATAAAATATTTCTGATATTATGATAAGCATTTTGCTAGTTGACTTGTTTTTCAAATCTTTCAAGGGAACCCAGATAAATTTGCTCAAAGTTGGCAGCAAAGTTGGAAGGAAAGCACCCAAAACTTTGGTCCAACTTATCTCGGTTCCTATAAGAGATATCAAAAAGTGGTTAACTGATAAAAGATAAGTGATATTATGATAAACATTTTGTTAATTGACCGCTCTTTGGTATCTTTTGCAGAAAATGAGATATATTAAATTTAAAAGTTACTGTTTTTGGGCCATTCCTTTGGAGTGTTTACTGTATTTTTGGCTGTTTGTGTATATATCATTTTCAAACCATTCAAATTGTACTAAACTAAATTGAAGCTTTCATCTTGAAATTGACTTTTTTTTTAAACATGCTTTGAATGATTCGGTATAAAAAATTGTCAACTGGAAAATTGGTGCAACTGCAACTTTACAGAGAAAATCTAATATGTTTCAAACCCCCAAAGAGTTGTATTTCGTACAAGTGCAATTCCAAAAAATGTTTTCAGCACTCTGCCACAAATGGAAGCGAATTCGAAACAAAGATGACTATATGCCTATAAGAGGTTTGCAATTTGTTTGCCAAATGGTCAAAAATCAAAAATGCAACGCCAACAAAGATCCATCAGATGGACACCTTGCAATTGAATTGCCACAACTCTCAGCTGCTGCCATAAAGAATAAAGAAGTCCCATCGAAAGCTAGGAACACAAGAAGCATGCCAACCTGTCGGGAGGTTAGAAGATCAGAACAGCCTAAGCCCGAACATCTAATTGGTACGTCTTCTAATGTAACTTCAACCACGCGTTCTAGTCGTCGAGAGCGTGATAGTCAGCTTGGTTCGAATCTGAATCAACAAGAGCGCTCACCAGACTCAAGCAGATTCAGAACTAGACAACAGGAGGAGCCGAGAAGGGATAGCCAGCGTGGCTTAAGTTCAACTAGACGTCAGGAGTCGGAAGAGCAAGAAAGTGGAAGCGAAGAGAGTGTGATATTGTCAGCCAAGAAAGAAAAGAAAGAAAGAAGAAGTGAATCGGTTCAACAGAATCGAGAGTCTTCAAGAAAAAGCCAAGTGAGAGCAAGAGTTGTGGAAAAAGAGGAAGCAATCGATAATGACTGGGAGGAAAGCACTACTGATGATTTGCCAACGGAATCTAGAAGTTACGGAAGAGCTAGACGTCAAGAAATGGATTCCCGAAGACGAAGAACCGACGAGGACGTTGAACTTGTTCCAGTGAAAAAGGAGAGAGCGGGACCAGAAGTGACCACGACGGGTAGTGCTGAAGCTAGCGCAGCGGTGGCGTTGGAGAAAGTTCTCAGAGCGCTCGGCGTCGACCCCACACCTCAATTGAACGTCACCAGAGTCATAATTGACAAAATCCAGAAGCCACGACAGGCTAGAAGACGGCTCAGAGCAGACGCGACCAAAATGCTTGAACATCTCGGAAAGAATAAAAGACATCGAGTGAATATGGTGAGTCTGAAATCGTGTTTGATCTATTTAATATTTCATTTAATTCGTTAATTAATTAATTTTTTGTCTGCAAAATGACGCTTGGTGTTTCCTTAATTTGAAAAATGTTTTTTTTTTCAGCGAGCGATTAACAAGGAGAAAACAACTCGTGCCAAACTCGAAAGCTTCGTTAACCAGATTCGTTGATTCCTAATTTTTGTTTTATAGATGCTTCAATTTTCTCACAATTTCTCTTTAAGTTTCCATGTCAAATGTTTCTCGTTCTCGGCTCAATTCTCTTCAATATTGTATGTTTCCTCCTCCTTTTTTCAATGCGCATTTCACCTTTAAATCTTGTGCCTATTTTCCTCGCATTTTTCATTTTTCCGATCTTCCTTGTTCATCTGCCGAACCTTGCAAAAACTGAAATTTTTTTTTGTTTTGCTTGTTCTTTTTCATTTGTAGGTCTCAATGTGTTTCCCAAAAATAAAAGCGGCAAAAATGAATTCAATTAGCTCCAGTTCACTCTCGATATTCTTCTCGGAACGTTTTTCAAAAATTACTTTTCACACGCTTTTTAGGTGGAATGCAGGCATTGCTAAGAGCTTTCGCTTCGAGACCAGCGGTAATCTTACTGTAGTATTGCAATGGTTTGAGCTCGTTTAGACGAAATTTCAAAAGCACCGGTTTTTCGTTGAGAAAAGCGGTTTTGAAAACGCGAATTTGACTTCTTTGAATCACTATTTGAATAACGAAAAAGGATAAAAGAAAGCCGACGCGGTGATTGGCGGTGATGACTATTTAGTTTGCACTTTGCTCTCTTTCCGTCCCACCTCATTAACCAGACACTCATTCAAATTTCTTTCTGTCCTTTCTAAAAACTTTGGCTGTTTTTGCTCAGAAACAACTATACAACTATGCACCTTTAAATAAATTTTAGGCCGCAAGGCTTATCGCCGTCGACAAGAATATATCTCATTTCTTTCAAACTCTTCCTAAACGTTTCGGAACTTTGCCTATTTTTTCGGAACATTTTTGAAAAAATATTTTTCCCACGCGTTTAGGTGGAATGCAGGCATCGTTTTCGCTTCGAGACCAGCGGTAGTCTTACTGTAGTATTAGCGCGTTTACACACGTCACGTCTCGTCATCCCAAAAAAAGCGGGCGGTTTCAAAAGGGGAATTTGAATCAGGTGCATCACTATTTGAATAATGAAAAGGATTTAAAAAAGCCGGCGGTGACATGTTCAGTGATAATGACTATTTAGTTTGCACTTTGCTCTCTTTCTGTCCCGCCTCATTAACCGGGCACTCATTCAAATTTCTTTCTGTCCATTTTAAAAACATTTGCTCAGGACCGACTATGCGCCTTTAATTACCGTAAAACCTGTGTTAGAAGGGCCGGTCCTTCGATTCTTCCCCGGTACTTTCGGAGAGCCCTTCTATAGGAAAAATAACGGCCTTCTGGCGGGGACCGAAAGTTCGAGGGTGGGCGGAGCTTAACATGCATTTTTCGTAATTGTATTCCGGCCTATTTTTTATTTATTTTTCGATAAATTTCATCGATTTTGAACTTTTTTAATACAAAAGTCCTTAAATCGCAAAAAATTCAGTGAAATTCGAAAAATGAATGCTCCTTAGAGGTTTTCGCTAATATTCTTGCCTGGCGCCGATGAACCTTCTGGCGAA